AAGGTTAGCACCCTTCTAGCTTCCACATTGAATCTACCACCGTCATGAAAGCAGCCCCCGGATGCAGAAAAGGGGTGCTTCACAAAAACTGTCCGGCCTGCAGCCTGTGCCTTGCTCACGCTCATATTATAATTTAAAAAATATATATTTTAGCTAGGCATGGTGACTCATGCTCATTATCCCAGCGCTCTAGGCGGCTGAGGCAGGAGGATTCCAAATTCAAGCCCAGCCCGGGCAACTTAGTGAGATAATGTCTCAAAATTTTTAAAACGGCTAGAACCAGGCATGGTGGCACATGCCTGTTAACATTCTGGGAGGCTGAGGCAGGAGGAATTCAAGTTACAGTTAAGCCAGGGCAACCAGCCAGGTGTGGTAGTGCACACCTGTCATCCCAGCACTTGGGAGGCTGAGGCAGGAGGATCGTTGCAAGTTCAAGACCATCCTGGGCTACAAAGTGAGCTCCAGGCCAGCCTGAACTGCATAGCAAGATCCTGTCTCTAAAAATAATAAAATAAAATAAAATAAATAAAAATAAAAAAGCCAGGGCAACTTAGCAACTCAGTGAGCCCCTGTGTCACTATGTGGAGGTGGGAAAGGATGGCAGGGAGAATCAGAATAGGAAAGGAAGAAAGGACCACGATATGATATGCACATGTACCAATTCCCCACCACGGATATATTTATTATGTACTGTAAAAATATACTAATAAAAAGGTCAAAAAAACAGAAAAAATAAATATCAGCTCTATGCCCCAAAAAGCAAAGATTTTAACTGTTTTTTAAATTAAGTGAATAAAAAGAGCTGGGGATGTAGCTCTGCGTAAAGGCCCTGTGTTCAATCTCCACTACTGCAGAAAACAAAAAAAATTTTAAGGAGTTTTGGTTATTTATATAATTGACTGCATCATACCTGTAGCCCCAGACAACGCCTCTGCACTCAGCGGGGCCAGGCAGGCCTCCATGATGCCCTAGCTGGCAGTATCACCGGAGACTCAGGAGAGAAAGTGGACACAGCCCCCAGGCACGGCCCCTGGGCTGAGGCGGTACTCAAAGTCCCCTACCGGGCTGACACCACCCCCAGAGAAGAGCTCCCTAGGGCTCCCTTACCCAGGCAGGCAGAGAGCCCAAGGATGAGGTCCCCCAAGAAAGTGCCCCCACCCCACCCCTGGGCGCAGCCGCTCAGACCCTGTGTTAGCGAGTGAGGTTCCAACTCGTTGGGAGAGGGGTCGCTGGTGTGGCGCAACACCGTGACTTACTGAAAATCTGCCCTGTGAGGTGCCTCGAAACGGCTCCTGGGAGGGTCTCACTTGAAAACAGCCTGGGGACTGAGGACACCACACTCCAGCGCGCACCCCACAGTCCCATGTGCGGAAGTTCTCAGCAAACTGCACGCAGCGCCCATCCCATCCCCCCCAGGGGCCCCTAGCGCCCTCTAGTGGCCAAGCCAGCTTCATGCTGGCTGTGGAGAAATTTAAAGGGCCCAGTTCCATTCTCACCAAGCAGCCAAGAAGGGGTGACTCTAGAGCCTAAGGCTGATCATTGATAACCATCAACTTCTACCACCTTGACTGCTCAGCCTCCATATAGACCCTCCTGCACAGCAGCACAGGTCCACATCTCTACCTAAGATGCAGCTATCATTCTTACAAAAAAAGCTCTCACTCTTGCATGAAATGGAGAACAAATCCAGAAGTCATCACCAACTATATTGCTTATTACTCAGACGCAGTCACAATGCCATGGAATATGCTCTCACCGAAGCGCTATGCTGTGATGTGGAATTTCAAAAACTTGCAGTCCCAGCACTCTGGGAGGCTGAGGCAGGAGGGTCATAAGGTCAAGTCCAGCCTGGGCAACTTACCATAGCGACTTAGCAAGACTTTGTCTCAAAACAAAAATAAAAATAAAAATGGCTTGCGGGTGTAGTTCAGCGCCAAGGTCCTGAGTTCAGCCACCAGTACTGAAAAACAAATAACTATTCTAGGAAGAAAAATCCTGTCTCTATTGCCTCTTTTTCTCCTCACTATGCCTTAACCAGTACAGCATAGCTAATTTTTACACAACATTCACATCGTGTTAGGTATTAGAAGTAACCCAGATACGCCTTCAAGTATCCAGAAAGATTGTGTGTAGTTATGTGCACATACTACACCACCATCTATGAGGGGCTTGGGCACCAGTGGATGTTGGCATCTTCAAGACGCCCTGGAAACCAGCCCCACAGATTTTGAGGCATGACTATACCTCAAGCAGTACTCTAGTAGGCTGGCTGGGGACCCCAGGATCAAGTAGCCACCACTGACAAACACTACAGATGAGCATTCTGATGGTCTGTGCATTCCCTCTGCCCTTTACAGTAAATGTGCCTGCCTTAACCTTGGCAAAGCAATGCTGCCCTTGGTCTCTGCTATTCTTTTTTTCTTTTGGTCTTTTTGAGACAGGGTCTCACTGTGCAGTTCAGGCTGGCCTTGAGCTCACTTTGTAGCCCAGGCTGGTCTCAAACTCCCAACGATCCTGCTGCCTCAGCCTCTCGAGTGCTGGGATTACAGGTGTGTGCCACCAGGCCCAACAGGTCTCCACTACTCTAGGGATGTCCTGTGGAGATGACCTCTACAGCCACAAGGCCTTTGAGGGTGAAGACTCTCCCACACCAGCAGCTTGCTCAGCATCTGCCTTTGCTCCCTCGCATGGGACACAATCAAGGAGAGGAAGAGACTGCACACGACACACGCAGTCCGACATCCGTCTCCCCAAGCCTTGAATTCCCTCTTCCCCACCGCGACATCGTGACCGTCAGCCACACTCAAATCCAGGTTTAGGCAGCCAACCCAGCCAGCTCTTACAGCCATGACGAGCTGCACTCGCTCCACGATCTCCCTTGGGTGTGCCCTTGTCACTGAATTCAGTCCAATCTCACGCTGCACTCGGCCCTCCTTGATCTAACACCCTTAGGACCCTCTCCCACACATCACCAGGATCCTGCCGATAGGCGTCAGCAGAGTCTGGTCCCTCTCAGTGCTTCCTCCTGGGTCCTGGTGTGCACCTGTCACCACGGAACGGACTGAGCCCCTACAAGGACCAGCGACCGTGGTGGAGATTGTGGCGAGCCCTAGGCATCCTTCCAGGCACACACCCCGCTGAGATGCTCGCAGGGTTGTTTGGGGCCTTTGCACTGAGCTGCATCCCCAACCCTTTCTTTATTTTTTATTTTCAGACAGGGTCTCGCTAAGTTGCTCAGTATGCACTCCAACTTGCCGTCCCCCTGCCTCAGCCTCCCAGAGTGCTGGGATGACAGGGGCCCACCATCACTCCTGGCTTGAGCACAGGGTCTTAACAGAGGAAGGGAGCCTGCTCAGGCCCTGGAGGCCAAGGCCGGTCCACTGAGAAGGGATGTTCAGGGCAACACGGAGCTTCAGATTGTCAGTCTTATCTGCATCCAACAGATGTCCCCATTCTACGCACCGGGACCCTGTTCTTTCCCCTTCAGTGTCCTACTTTTCACACAAGAAACTTGTCAAGATAAGAATTTGACTGTCATTGTAATTTAGCAACCAGCACAATTAAATTCTGTGCATTTCAGCAATGCCAGCTCAGTGGCTGCAAGACAGAAGTTTCCGTAAGGACCACGCCAGGAGCCCCAGAGCCTCGAGGCATGACTTGAGGACAGAGTGAAGGACCCGGGCTTGTCGCTTGCTCTCCGGAAGTGCTCAAGAGCCCTCTGAAGAATCCACCTCACCCCCGAGGCCCATCCCTACCATCATCATTGCGGCAGATTAGTCTAGGGCCACCTCATCAGCCGTGGGGTCAGTGTAACTGCAAGGCCACTGCCTGTCTGGGGTACTAGCGCCCCATTCCATTGTTAAGGAACCAGACACCACACTCAAGCCCAACGTCAACAGAAAACCCGTCCCCGCATGCCACCCTTGGGTCTGACCCCTGGTACTACCTCGACACCAATTCTGTATCAGCGTGTGTCCAATCAAGGAAAGGAGGGCCTGGGGATTTAGCTCAGCGGCAAAGTGCCTGCCTGGCAAGCACAAGGTTGTAAGTTCGATTCCTGGTACCGGAAGGAAAAAAAAAAAAAAAAAAAAAACAATCAAGAAAAGGAAACCACACAGCGACTTCAACAGGGGCAGTGTCCTCTGAAGGATCAGTAACCTAGAAGAGGCAACTGAATTAATACGGCTTTAGCTACCAAGGAATAGAGAGCAATGATCAGGAGCAGCAGGCCCTGCAGAGCTGAGGCCGAGACTCCTAGGAACACCCCATCCAGGGCTGGGACAGAGCCTGAGTTCCCCCGGGCAGGGCTACGGTGAGTGCTCAAGGGGCACCCCCAGATCAAAGTTGGTCCCCGAGAAAGGGTCCCTGAGGGCTTTGGTAGAGTCCCCAAAGATAAGTAACCCCCAACCAAAGAATCTCCAAGGAAGAAGCCCCAGAGCTGAGGTAGAGCTCCCTAGGAAAAGCCCCCACTCAAGGGCTAGGCCAGGACCCCAAAAAGAACCCCCAAGGGCTGAGGCAGAGCTCACAAGGAAGAGCGCCCACACACACACACACAAACCCGCGGCCAGAGGTGGCGCTCGGAAGAAACCCACGCAAGAGGCTGAGATTCAGCCCCCTCTCAGAGCCGATGGACACCCCAAGGGGGAGCCCCCACATGGGCTGAGTTTGATGTCCCCCAAGGGGGCGCCCCACAGAGGGCTGGGTCAGAGGCCTTCACCCTAGGCCTAAAATGCAAAGCTCAAAGGGATCCCCTAGCTCAGGACGGACCACCCGGAAGGCGCGCGTCCCGGAGCTAGGATACGCCCCTTAGGAAGAGTCCTCTTCCCCCACGGCTGAAATAAAGCCCCAGGGAAGAGCCACTGAGAGCGAGCGCCCCCAGAAGTACACCCCACATCCCTGGGCTCCGCTGAAGGGGGCCGGGCTCGCACTTCCTGCATGAAAATCGAACAAAATATTTGAATCTAGCGGAACTTGCTAGAAAGCCAACCTATCGCACTTACTGGAAATCTCGGGTCCCACAAACTCCTCTCCAGAAGGCTCCCCCCGCGAAGGAACTCCAGCGAGCACCTCGGAGCCCCACGTGCCTTGCGCCTCGCCCCAGCTCCAGCAGTCTGGAAGCATCCTCGCCCCGCCCCCAGAGCCCTGACGCCCTCTAGCGGCCAGGCCAGTTAGGCAGAAATTTAAAGGGCCCAGCTCCATTTTCACCAGGCAGGCAAAAAGGGCAGACGGATCTGGAGCCTTCACCAGTGAAATGTCCGCAGTGAGAAAGAAGGAACTCCTGATCCATGAGACAAGGTGGATTCGCCTTACAGAGACGATGCTGAGGGAGAGAAGCAAGCACAACGGCACCACCTGCAAACTTTCCCTTCAGATGAAGTCCAAGAACAGGAAAAGTGTCGGCCGCGGCAGAAGTCAGAAACAGACATCTAGTGAGCGGGGTGGGGGGCGCTGTACGGGAAAGGGGCACAGGAGGGTTTTCAGGGCGATGGAAATAGTCTCTATTTTGATTGGAGTGGTGGCGGTGAGATAGAGAAGCCCCTGGGGCTGGGGATTTAGCTCAGCGGCACAGCACCTGCCTGGCAAGCGCAAGGTCGTGAGTTCGATTCCTGGTACCGGGGGAAAAAAAGCCAAAAACCAAAAAAAAAAAAAGAGAGAGAGAGATAGAGAAGCCCCAACTCGCCTCCTTCCCATAGAGGCTGGAGCTGGCATGGGTTTTCCAGCAGCTGTCACGGCCCTCCCCCTCGTGTCCCTTCCCCACCCCTCCCCGCAAGGACTGAGCCATCTTGCCTGGTGTCCACCGTGTTATTTAGCAACCGTTCTCCTCTGGGCCACTTGGACAGAAGTACTGCTCTGCTGTAGGCTGTGGGGCCCCTCCCCCCAAAGCCCAGCACCCCCACCCCCGCTACCATTCGGACACTGCTGCTGCCGCCTCTTTGAGAGGATGGGGTCAGACCACCCTAAGGGGGCTAAGATCAGGGAGGGAGTGCTTCAGGCCTATTATTAAGATCCCCTGCCTGCCCAAACCCCAATTACCTAGGTTGAATTAGCTCCCTGGTTTTGGCCCTAACACTTTTCATAGACAAACAACAGCTGTCAATCAAATAGCTCCCTGGTCCCGCCTTCTCACCGAGTCGCCGCCATGAAAGATCCAGCCAGCCTAGATGCAGACTCCTCCCACACCCGCACAGTTTGAACCAATCACAGGCCTCTATTGGACCACTGAACAGGCCTGAATTTGAACCAATCACAGGCCTGCCTTTAGACCGAGCATAGGCTTGCAGCTGCTGTATAAAGACCACTCTTCAAGCTGGGCTGCTGGCTCGTGTGTATAATCGCAGAAGTGGGGAGGGTAACACAGGATTGCTATCAGTTCGAGGCCAGCCTGGGCTACATAATAATCTCAAGGCCACCCTGAACCACACAACGAGACTTCGCCTAAAAAAAAAAACACTCCTGTTGCTCTTTTTGGGTTGGTCGAGGTGGGCTTCCTCGGGTATACTGACCTTGCCATCTTCACACCCTGTTGTGCAGAGGCCTGTGAAAACCCGGCTCTGGTAGGTCCTGTGGTCCCTTAAACCTGCTCCTGATTGATTTCTCAGGGAGTGAGGGCTTGAGAAGGTCTGTAAATCAACTCAGGAGAAGTGTAGACAGAACAACAGTTTTAAAAGAAAGCGCAGTAAACACTATCACTGAAGAGATCCAGAGATCTCCCAGGGGCTTCCAGCATCTCCCAGGGGCTTCCGGCACAAGCCAGCATCCAACAGTGGACAGACGCCAGCAGCTGACCTCCACCGAGAGCTTCCAGCGCTGCCCACCGTGGTCAGGGCCACCAGCACAGCTGCACTTTGCCCGTTCGTGATTTCTATCTGAATGAAGCAAAAGAACTCTCGAGTGTAGGCACAGCGGTGTGTGCAGGTATACACATTTGTGAAGATTCCTGTGGCTAAATCCTTAAGATCTGTGTGTTTCATTGTAGATAAATCTCACTTCAGTATTTCAAAATTAGCCCCCCTCATGTTTTGGAATTTTTTGGTGGGGTGGGGTCCTAGGGATTAAACTCAGAGCCTTACCTTCACCCTGAGCTACATCCCCAGCCCTTTTTTCTTTTTTTATTTTGAGTGAGAGTCTCCTAAATTGCGTTTTCTAGGCTGGGTTTAAATTTAAGATCCTCCAGACTGCCTCCCAGAGTGCTTAGATTTCAGGCGTGTGCAACCATGCCCAGCTCAATTTTTGAAATTTCAAATAGAATCACTGTGTGCTAGCTACACAGTCGATAAACAGATATTTTGAGTAAATAAAAGCACATATAAGTCACTTACTCTTGCCAGGCATGGTGGCACACAGCTGTAATCACAGCACTCAGGAGACTGAGGCAGGAGGATTGCCATGAGTTCGAGGCTAGCCTGGACTATGTAGTGAATTTAAGGCCAGCCTGAACTACAGAGTGAGACCCTGTCCCAAAAAAATTAAAAAAAGCTGGAAATGGTAATGCATGCCTGTAATCCTAGCACTCGGGAGGCTGAGGCAGGAGGATCGTTGTGAGTTTGAGACTGGCCTGGCTACAAAGAGAGCTCAAGGCCAGCCTGAACTGCATAGGGAGACCCTGTCTCAAAAAGACAAAAAAAAAAAAAATCACTCTTTTTGCTTTTCTTACATCAAATTTGGACAAATCCCTGCATCACTGATCTGCTTTTCTGGATTCCCATAACCTTTTGCTCTCAGTCTATTCCCAGTTTTATTTCACCAGTGTTAGCTTCAGAAAGACAAAAGGCTTCTAGTACCACTGAAGCAAACAGTATGTCTTGAATGTTCTATGCCTGACACTGTTTCTAAAACTCCAATAGTCACAACAGTTTATGTGGTAGTTACTGCTGTCGTCCCCATTTTACAGATGAGGAAACTGAGGTACACTTGTCTTGGGGCCCATGTTCTGAACCACTTTATCTCTAGAGTTAGACTAGCTTCAAATTGCAGCTCTTTCCTTATTGACTGAGCAAGACAGAAGACCGCTGTGAGTCTTACTCGCCTCATCTTTGAGACAGAGATAATGACATTTTCCTCTTGGCTTGTCACGAGGCGCAAATGAACTCCCCGTAGAGCCTGAATCCTGGGCCCAGCCTGGGACAAGCGCTCATCATGGGCCGCAGGTTTCATCAGTTCTAAGATGCACCTGCTTCCCCAGTTTCCTGAAGTCAAGACGTGCCTCACATCCATGGCAACTCACAAGCTCCTGGGACAGTGGCCACCATGACACAGCTGTCATTGCCTGGGCAAGACCAAACCTAGACAAACCTGTCACGACTGTTGTCCCTCCCATTCCTTAGTATTAAACATTTCTTCCAATGGGAATTAAATAGAAATGTTGAGCTAGGAAAGCATTGCGCCATACTTTAGTTGGCAGCCACTTTTCTCCCTTGGTGGTATAGAACTTCATGGCTTCTTAGGCTTGGTGGAATGCGGTATTGTGATTGGCACAAGTTTGCATCCCTGCTACTGTGGACCACTGGACCACTGGCTCTTCTTCCTGCCTCTTTAGTACAATTCAGCATCCACGCTTGTGCTATGGGATTTTGCAGTGCTAGAAATGTGAGTTCCTCTCCCCACCCCATGATGTGGGGCTTGACCATTTGACTTGCCTTAGAATCTGTGCCATAGGGTACAAGTTCCAAGATGAGCCCTGAGGAGACCTCACAAACCCGTATGAGCTAGAGACAAGTGAAGCCTACATTAAAGACCCAACCTGCCACCAGAAGCAGAAGGGTAATTGCTTGCAGTTGTAAGCAACTGAGATTTGAGGGTTGTGTGTTTACATAGCATTAACATAGTGGCCATGTCAGCTTTCCGTGGCTGTGATGAAATACCTATGCTAATCAACTTATAAGGAAGAAAAGTCCATTTTGGCTCGTGGTTTCAGAGGTTTTAGTCCATGGTTCTTGGCTTCTTGGTTTCTGGGTTGGTTGTGATGCAGAACATCAAGGCAGGGAGTAGGTGGTATGCGAAACTGCTCACCTCCTGGTGACTGGGAATCAAGAGGGAGAAAAGCGCCAGGGTCTCAATGTCCCTCCCAGAAATCACTGCTGGTGACCTCACATCCTCCCATGAGGCCCCACCTCCTAAGCCTCCTCTACTTCCAACAGCACCAAAGGCTGAGAGCCACGCCTTCCGTGCATTGTCCTTGGGGACATCCAAGGTGCAAACCGTAACAGTGGTGACAGCTGACACACTCACTGGATGAGGTGTGCTTTGAGGGCCAGGCTCATGGCTCACTCGCCCCCATGTCCCCAGTGCCTGGACACGGCACAGGGAGATCTGTGGGAAAGGCGGGCTTTGGAGGGACACACTGGGTTCAAATCTCAGCTCTGCCACTTACAAGCCAGATGAACCTGGGCATGAGGGTGCTCACACCTGTAATCCCAGCACTTTGGGAGACTGAGGCAGGGGGCTCACAAGGTTGAGCCCAGCCTGGGCAACTTAGCAGACCTTGTCTCAGAAGAAGAAAAGTTTTTTTAAGAGCCGGGGAGGTAGCTCAGTGTGAAGACCCTGGGTTCAATCTCCAGTGTGATGCGCCATAAAGCACAGGGAATACGGGGCCGCACTCTGCCCCCAGCATGAGCAGCCCTGAACATGCACACGGGCCCCTTTCCTGGTGAATGTCTGTCCTGCAGTCCATGCCTGAGGCCCCTGGCACCCTTCATTGCACCTCAGAATTCAACGGAAAAATCAGCCAGATGTTCCTGGGTAGGGAGGCAGGCTCTGGTGGGAGGGGCACCCCTGGGATTCAAGCTCTGAGAAGGGCCAGAAGGGACAGTGGTTAAGCCGCTCCGAGCATCCCCCTGCACCGGGTCCCCTCACCAGCTCCACTTCCAACCTGCTTGACACCAAAGGGCCCAGGTGGGTTCCCAGCTCCAACTTGGCCTACTGTGCTCCACCAGAATTTCCCACCCGTTATACCCTATGCAAATGCCCCTTCGGAGAAGACCAGGGAGGACGGGGCTGCCTGTCTGGTCCAGGCGGGGGTAGGGGTGAAGATCTTCCAGCTGGGGCAGGGGAGTGCGTGCACACAAGACCCCTGACCTGGCATCCCCAGCCCCACACACCATGCACCCATCCCAGAAAAGAG